GTCCGATCGAGGACGACACTGAATATTTGAAATTGTCGACGAGAGAGAACTCTTGGAGAGGAGGGAATTATTTTTTCCGTTTTGCCAGCTATTTTTGCACAGTCTTGCGCCCAAGGAGTTACTGACCTCTGGCCAGTCTGCGGTACAGCGAATCGCCTATTTTTAAACGCACGAAAAATGCATAGCCTCCCTTCCGAAAGAAGTCGAGGAAACGGAATAAGAGAGAACAAACGAACGAACGAATTTTATTAACACCGGCGAGAAGGGGAAAGAGGCGAGGGGAAAAGCGGAGAAAAGAGAGAGGAGGTTGTTTTGTCCGTCGTCGATGTTCTTGACAATATTTATTTCCGAAATGATCACGTGTCTTGGTCAAGAAAACTTTCTGGTCTCAAGTGCTTTACGAATACCGTAAAATCCCTTCTTCAAGGAGGTGTCCGATATCCATCCTGACGACTGGCGCTTCGAACGTTGCGACAAAACAGGAACGTGGAAAAAATACGAGTAGCAGACGCGCGCTCGAAAAGTGCGCACGTATAATCGTAAAATCGTGCAATCGTATGCCACTCTCAGATTTTTAAGGCACTTCTCAACTTTTCTTGTCAAATTAAACTTGTCTTTTAGCGAACCGCTTATTCACTTTTTTAAATATAGCAACGCATTGGTATCTTGTCGAATATGTAAAAAATAAAAATTTTCTTGACAACCAACAAGCATTTACAAATAAAAAATAATAATTGCCATGGTGTTGTGTAATATTTATATGAACATGAGCGATTTAATTGCTTAGCCGCTGGCGGAGTGAAAAGTCGTCGGCAACCTCTTTGAAAGAATCTCCGGAAACGACCGGCGGGACTGACCGATCTACCTGTTCAGGTGCATCTAGGGATTCCGGTGGCTCGCCAATTTAAAAGTAATTTTCTCGAATCCTTTTAGAAAAGAGGCCAGTCAAATCACAGTCTTCCCACGGTTGGTCAGCTGGCCTGCGTCCAGAAGCGACGATCTTCGCTCTATCCGCCCCTCTCGTTTGGCTCTCTTCTACTTTTCTCTATCCTCTTTTTTTTTAATATGAATTCCGATTTTTCTACCTGGGATCTACCTTGAGTTATCCGAGATTCAAGATAGCACGCAAGATCTTTTTTACTGTTACGCGAAAAGATTCACGCGCGTGATACGAAACGAGTGCCTTGCCATCTTCGTGGAGTCCTAACACAAAACTCTCGTAACCTTTTAAAGTAACTTTCCTATAACAAAAGATTAACATTTGAGTTACTTAACTCAATTGCGCTAATTACCAATAGCGCTTTTAAACTTGAAACCAAATATTCAGATATGTCTTTACGACAACGGCTTTACGGTCGGATTTGACACGATGTAATTCGATTATAAAATAAGAATTAACAACAAAATGTCTCATAAAATCGCAAATCGTGCGATACGACAGAATTTTGAAGAAACTGAGTTACAATAAAAAAAAAAAAAAAAACGATAGACATAGAAATCACACAGCTGTGCGGAGTCAATTTTTCGAAAATTGACGCGGCTCGTCACCGGAGACGCGCTAATGCGAGATCTGGATATCAAGAGCGATCGAGCCGCCAAAGTAAAGAAGAAAGAAAGCACGATCGTATAATCGATCTCGATGAATGGCCGAAATTCGATCAAAGGGGCGATCAAAGAGGCCACATTGGACGACGAAGGACAGGGTCCTCACTCGGGAAAATTTTCAAGAACACACGTGGTTCGCGTCGCCCCCGGCGCCCCCCTCCTTCTCCTACTTTTTTTTTGCTCGGATCACTTTTTATATACCTCCTCCCTTTTTTCGGGGCCCTAGGATTTTTTTCTTACCCCTTGGCCGGCCATCTGCCGCTACGGAAGGGGCGGCCAAGATGCAGGATCCACAGGGAGGGGTTAGACCAGAGAAGAGGAAGGAGGATGCGCGCACGGTGAGACGGCAGACGAGAGATGATCCATCGTGGAGCGAAGGATGCGCCGGGCAGAGAGAGAGAGAGAGAGAGGAAGACGGATGGAGAACAGAGAGGAGATCGAGGGAACCCATCATCCGGGGGTAATGGCTTAAGGCCCAGTTTAAGATCTCAGCTAGTAGTTCTACGTCTGCGGGATGAGATTCACATCCACGAGAATCGATTCGATGATGCAGCCTGCGGCTGAAAATTGTTCCACGAAAAGAATGGCGGAACGACCAATGCATGAATAATACTCGACTAATAAAAACGCATTTTCCATAACGCAGCTTAAGTGAAACTAGTGCAGATGGAGAACGCTTTTTATGCGATATAGTAAAATTATAGATTATTATGTCAGGAGCTACCGATTAGATCGTAATAAGTATATGAATGATTATAGGGAACTAATGGCGCGCTTAATTGAATTAATGACGCGCTATTTACTGCGATACTTCATTTGTATCGTCGCAGATTGCACGACGCGCTCTTGAAAAAAGAAAAAAAAAAGAAAAATGATCTTCAACCGCAACTGATTTTATCAAATGACAGTTCTTCAGTTTTATCTTACTTAATCGCTCGAACAATTATTACTCGGTTTTTTCTAATATGAAATGATGACTTTGCAATATCGATGTTTACAGCCGGTCCCACCGTTCGAGCAAGGGCAATTTGGACTTCACGCGAAACACCTTTTCTTATGACGGTGCCGTTATCCCGAAATAGAAACTTTTTTAAGTCAGCGCCACGCCAACTGCAGTCCGTTCTCACGAACGGAAGAGGCGCGCGGCCGTGCGCTTTCCCGAAATCTTTCTAGCGGCGAGCCTGTCATCGGGCACCGATACACCAACCATCGGGCACTCCATCGTCGATCCGCCGTGGTGCGCATGTGGACGCGGGCTAACAACCTAGCAGTATTTCAGTTTTTTTTTTTCTCCCCTCCCGAAAATCGTTTTTTGCACCTTCCTCCGCCGAGAGGAATCTGTGCCATTCGGGGTACCGTAAGGGTCGTTTTCCCCTTCCCCTTTCGCCTATTTTCTTTTGCCTCCCCCCTCCCCCTTGTTCCCGCCGTTTTTCTCCTCGTCGTCACAAGGTGTTTCCGTCCTGTAGCAGTTCCGGCGCCCTAACCCCTCCCCCTCCTTCCCTTCTTCGCGGACTCCTAGGAGAAGGAGATGAAAAAACACCCGGGGGCACCCTCTCGATGGAGGCTCCCACCACCCCGTCGTTTGCGCCGCGTGTAGAACCGTGATAGAAGAGGAATGCACCTAGAGCGGCACTGGCGCGACGGTGCGTTACCCCCGACAGGAGTGCAGGATGTTTTTTTCCGGTGGCACTGTGCACCGCGGTGGGCCGTGCGAAAGCGGCGCGGTGAGAATTTTTTTATGCAAAAATGGACATGGGAAAAAATGAGAGTCCATCGAACGTCGGCGGCGTGTGGCAGATGCGCGGACAGGACGATCGGAAATACTTTGATAATTATCGTACACGAGATTCCCGAGCCAGCTCGCTTTAAGGCGAGCAATGTTGTCATAATAATTGTGGATTTCGTCTCTCGTAGTTCTAAATCGTGCCGAATTCGACGAAGCGAATAAATATGTGTGCAGATTATAAAAGCCTTATAGATATTTTCTTAAAAGATAAATAATTGTAATCTATATGTTAAACATATAAATGTGACTTTTTAAACGTCATTTCCGGCTCTTGGAAAAATAGACGACGGAAATTGATTATTACTGCTTCGAGATAGTATAAGAATAAAATTAGAAAATTTGATACAAAATCATTATATTAAATCCGTTTTCAACCGGAAACGATTAAGAATGTTATAGTACTAGATCATTGTTTCGTTATACATTCAAGTAAAAGTGCATTCGATATCATTCGAAATTTTCATGCATAAATAATTGATTTCTGTAATAAAACTGAAAATAGATGGGGTTCTAATTTGTTTAATCATTTCACATTGACAGACAGCAATTGTATGGATCTCATTAATTCTGAAGAAACTAGAATGGGTTCACTTCCAGAATGTAACGTGACCCACTTCATCATCTGTGGTGACGGAAATTAGATTAACTGAAAGTTAAATTAAAATTTTCAAATCTGAATTCTCTGAGCAATTTTGCAAATAGTTATAATTGTCTTGTAAATAATTACAACACATATACAATATTTATCGAATTTATAAGGCGATATGAATAGAAATTTATTTTGTCAGATATATAATTGATATTAAGAGAAATTTATGAGCCTTCTTTAATTTATGTGACATCTCGAATATGTCAAATATATTGAAAATATCTTTTTCTCTTCAACTATTTTTAAAATTAATTCTCTTTCTAATTCATGTTTGACTTGTTATGAAAACTATTAATAACTTATTATTAAAAAATTAACAATTATACTTTTTATGAATGCATATTTGATGACCTTATTATTTTTCAATACGTTTGCTGTTTAACTGTTCGTTTTGAGCGAGATAAATAGATTATTTTCTTTCGCGCTCTTTCCTTTTTTTTCGCTTTTTTCCTACGGTTTCGTTGTTTCCTATTGTCCTGATTTAGTGCACCGTTAAATCATCGATGGCGACCGACTCGTTCTCGGGCGTGGAAAAGTGTCCCGTGAGATCTTTGAAAATGCGAAATTCTACGCAACGTTAATCATTCGCGTGAATCCTACGGGTACATCGATGTGCACATATCGATACATATCAATCCGAAAGTTTTTCGCCAAGCAAACTCTTACTAAAGAAAATAAACAAACTCAAGCAAATGCGGGTTTTTCAGAGCTTAAAAATTGATATATTATCAATTCTGTTTACTAGATGCTGTCTTACCTCAACGGTTTTTCTTGTTCCTTGGATGGTTCTTCTTGAATAACGATCATTTTAACTTCAGATTTTTCTTGAAGTTGTTTTATGGTTTCCCGTCCTTTGCCAATTATCAGATCAACTTTACGATCTGGAATATTGATCTCGACAAATCCAGGATGTCCCATCATTCTGCCACTGCCGCCACTCATTTTCACATCATCGATTCCTCTGCTTCTTTGATTTACTATTAACAATACAAGCTCCTTCATCCAACTGAAACACAAAGAATAAATGCACATTATTTCCTCGGATAAATTGTTTCACGTCTCAAAATATTTCATCAATAATTATAATACGTAATTATACGTACAATATACGTATGCATATGCATAAATTATATATATATATATATATAGAGTGCAACAAGATCAATGGTCGGTTGGTTCGATGACCTCCGAAGCTCGCCAGTTTACGCGGCGCGGCGCGGCGCCGTCGACGATTGTCAAAAATTTGCTTCGCGGCTAGTCTGGGGATATCCGGTTACGAGAGCCCTTCCAGAAATATCCCGCGGTCGGAAGAAAAACGATAATGCAACGTGGGGTGGTCGATTTCCCGTACGTGCATGCCGATGGAGACTTTCCGGGAAAAACGAGCCGCGCTGTTCCCTCGCGGCTGTACGCAAGACCGGGGCCAACCCTTGCAAGTCCAAAACTTCTAAACACCCTTGGCAAGGGGTCCGTCCTCCAGTTATATTTGGTAACTGTCTCTTCTCGAGCACACACATGCCGCAGTGGCGTAGCCACGAATGGACACGTGGTCAATTACTTCTTTTAAAGTTTTGGTCATCGAAAACATAAAGTTTGAATCATCGCATATGATCGATATAAATAATTGAGAAATAAAATTATTATTCTCGTGATCTAAATTGTATATAAAAAAAAAATGTTACATGAATTTGCTTAATTTATGTTCAAAAATTTATGCTTGAAAATTTATGCTGAGAGAATGTGACGTTAAATTTTTGGCATTGAAGCATAAAATGTGGGACTAGTTTTACGCTGATAAACAGTTCTTGAAGATTGTATTGAAAATGTTACATTTTACTTTGAACTCGTGTCTGGTGTAGGAATTTTCAAAGATAGCTCGGTAGGCTGCAGTGCGGTTTCGGGTGACCCCTTGACCATCTCTGGTCACCGATACGATTACCAGCGTCGGCGCGCAGCCGCTTTGGGGATCGTTTTGCTTTTATCGCCGAACCTCTTCGTCCCTCTTTCGCGATGGCTTTCAAGGGGGACCAAAGAGCAAGCTACGATGAGCGGGGAGGGGACGATAAACTCCCACGAAGTGGTGGACGCGGGCAACGGGAGCGCGGCCGAAACCATCGGACCTCCTCCCTGCCGCCGTCATGGTCGTCGTCGTTGTTGTCGTCGTCGTCGTCGCCGCCGCCGTCGTCGTCGTCGTCGTCGTCGTCGGTGCGAGACACATGTGCACGTCGCCGAGTCGCCAGACAGATCTTTTTTGTCCCGATGTAAAAATAATCTTTAAAACCCCGAACAGGATGCGTTGTTAGGGCAGAGATCACGAGTAGGGGGGGGGGGGCCGGGCGGAGGAGGAGGATAGCGCGCGGGCATCGTCACCAAGACGGTCCACGCAGTCACGGTTTTTTCACCCTTTGGACGGCCCGTCTTTCTGTAACGGGTGTCCGAAATTAACGTCCTGCGACACGGAGGGTCCCCGCCAGCTCGCGCCCGCGCTTCGCTCGTCTCTTCGTTCCGGAGGATGCGTTCGACCGCATCTGTCGGAAATGCGGCTCGGCCTGATGATCGTCGAGTGAGCTCCGCAAAACATTCCACTCCGGACGAAAAAGAATCGATAAGAAATTGTTGAATATCAGAAATAAGCTGTATCATACTTTTCTCTACGTCGAGAAATATTTATCGCGAGCGATTAAGGCGAAGGATACTGCAACCAGAGCGGCATTTGTCATACACTCGGCAAAGAATTAGCTGAAAAGACGTGACATCTCGCAACTGTGTTGCATTGTGCTATCGCAGATCACCCGGTGGTCGTATCGGCGACACACTTCGCCGGGCGCGTGACAAGTACATTATCGCGACCTATTGGCATTGTTTGACTTAACTAGACATACGCATCAATGTACGAGGGACACGTGTCCTCGCGTACAGCAAAACCGATTCAGACGGCAGAAAACGCAACAATTCACAATGTCGCGAGTAATCTTCCGCGCAAAATAAATAAATGAAAGGAATCAATGGGAATTTGTCTTGCCGAATTGAATTTCCGATCTTCGAAATTGGATATCAATTTTAAAAGTTCAGACGTAATATCAATTTTTTCCATTAATTAAAGAACCATTTTAATCTCTGCTATATAGTAACATTCGATTAAACATTATTCAAAAATATTATAATTTTTATATATCTGACTAATATATGTCTAATAATAATATTATTTCATTATACAGTTGATAAAATATAATAGAATTTTAGCATTATTTTATACAACATTCTCCTTTATAGCGTTTACATATTTCAATTTTTATCATAACTTCAGCGAACAGGAAGAAGTTAGGTTTTCAAAGATGATACTTTTCCAGATTCACATTCTCCTGAAACTCAACTTTTCGATGCCTTTTCTATTTTCCTGCGGGCACCTATTTTCCTGTGAGTCACGGAAGAGAAGCGCCTTGTCGAAGAACCGTGCCGTCTGCGCGAGGAAGAGGAGAGTCGTAGAAACACGCGAGAGACCTGAGACACAGAGCGCGGAAAAAATTCTATGAACTTGCGGTCGTCTGGAATACAGTGGCCCCGCGGTAATGAATGTGGGAGTTTCACACGGGTCAACGGATCGCTGCCTTTTCTAGGGATACGCGCGAGGTGCTCTTAGAGTGCACTCTCTCCCTCCTGCCCCCCCCCTCCTCCCCCACGCGCTCGCCGGCTGCCAGTGGAAGACGAGTCAAAGCGTATCCTAGCGTGTGTGCACGTAATAAACCGCTTGATAACTTATGCATTCCGAACGGGCGATACTATCTATCTAGCGCTGCCGTAAATAAGATATACAAACTGGATGCGGCGTACATATATAAATTTGCGAGCGCGTCGGATAAATGCGCGCGGACGCGACGCCCGCGAGAGGCGTTGCTAAATTGCGCGTCGAAAACTTTCTTCCCGCGATCCGGATTCGTTAATTCACCCGCTACGGATGCACCGAGGAAGACATTCCCCACTTACACTGCAACGGATATATGTCTGTTCAGTGTATCGAGCGAATTAGCGTTCACGTTTTTATATATATATATATATATATATATATATATATATATATATATATATATGTATATATGCGATTATACGCAATACTTTATCACAATTTCGTTCCGAGAATACACCTGTCACGAACTTAACAAGTTCAAGAAAATTTCGGATCGATGATGGCGAATTACTCCTGAAAACAATTTGCCGCAAAATTATTGCCGGAGAGATCTCAACAGAGGCAAAAAAAAAAAACACCGTAAATTCAATCCAGCGCTCCTATAGATCCCTCGCCAACTGACATTTAGACGAGCGTCGTAAAGAATACGAGTTAAACTTCGACCGCGAAACACTTCGCCGAGTTTAAATTTGCGCCGTCGATTTGCGTGCCGCGCACCCATTGCCCTTTGCCGGGAAGACATTAGCTATTTTCCGCGCTGCATACATTCGATAATGACGGTAATAGCAATCAATTCTCCCGAATGCTGATGTGAGAGATTAATATCGATTAAGCATGATGCCGCAATGGTCGTACAACGCTCGACAAACGAAGACATCAAATTCAAAAATTTAGCACTGCGATTCCTGACTCTTGGAAGCCTCCGAAGCCTCTTTGTCGCTGTCAAAAAAGATGGCGAAAATATCTCGTCAAATTATTTAGAACTGCAACTTGAGCTACTTTTGCTCGTGGTCAGTCAAACTGTCACATTTACTATTCCTATTTCCTTCTGTTTTTCTTTTCACAATCACACGGATTTCAATATTCTTTTATTATATTTCGTCAATAAATAGTTCAGATAATTTGATGCTAAATACAGAATTCACAAAGTCAGTCGAAAAATAGATTAACCGTTCGTCCTCTTGAAATCTTTCTCGTCCTTTCCTAGATTGGCCGGCCGAGATATGCCGGCCAGGCCTACAAAACACTGTCCAGGAGTCGCTCGGGCCCAGATAATTTTTTCGGGATTGTTAAAAGTCACTTCAGAGACGCCTCCCCGAAGAACAGACCGAGGACAGGCCACGTCTCTCAGGCCTGGGAAGCATTTTCGGCGTCCTTTTCTCTCTTCTCTCTCTCTCTCTCTCTCTCTCTCTCTCTTCTCTCTCTCTCTCTCTCTCTCTCTCCCGCTTCACTTCACCACTCGAGGAAAGTAGGAAAGAGACCGCCCTCTACTCGGTGGAAAATTAAAGGGCGCACCGTATCGCGAAGTCCGTCACTGCGGACCGGAGATGAGAGAGAAAGAGAGAGAGAAAGACGCGACGTCGCATATACGTAATACGCAAGATACACGAATACGCGTATACGTATGGCGCGAGCTTCCTTTGAAACTTGCGAACTTCCTATCGCGACCTGCCGCGTCTCTTTGTAGACGGATGAACGTCTCGGATCCAGGATAATGCGAAGCTCTTCGCCACGTCCGTGTCTCTTTCCATTCCGTTTCCCTTTTCCTTTCTCTCTCTCTCTCTCTCTCTCTCTCTTTCACTTTTCTCCGCTCGTCCCCTATCGCTGTTTCTCTCCTTATCCAGGCCATTCGCCTGGTCGCAGGATCGAGATCCTCCGGCGAATAATCCCGACGTGGAAAGATCCGCGTCGCGGATATCGATCCCACAAGTAGAATGAGGGGGTTTTAGTCGCGGAATAATTAATGTGAGAGAGCAGGTACTCCTGTGTGCTCCTCCGCACATCGCTTTCTCTGCGATTCGACGTTACGTGTTTACGGCGAGATCGAGGGACGACGAGAGCGTGCATTGCTCTGTTGGCGCGATCGGTCCGTAAATCTGGCTGCGACCCGTGCACTTAGCACCATCGCGTCGCGATGCGGCGTGCTGCCTTTTTTCATTCTAAGTTACATGGTCTTGTAATGAAGCGATAATGGTGCAAGAACTAAAGTGAAAGCGAAGTGATTTCGGAAACTTTGCATTCGAACACCGTGAAAGTATTTGAATTTATCGTCGTGCATCATTTAATTATGTCTGAATTTCCCGGATCTTTTCCAGACCGATCTCTCGTTTGCGTTTTAACAAATGTAAGAAATAATTTATACGTCGTGCAGGCGTATCTTAACAAAAGTTTTATTAGTCCCGATATATTAATCATCATCTTTCGTCACGTCTCAGTCTGCTATTAATACATGCACATATTGTAATAATGCTTATATAATTAAATTTTCAAGCATTGCGGTTTTGAAATAACATAATTTAAAAGGCTCTTATATATGCATATACGCATATAATTATCTTTTAGACGTATAAATAGAATATAGCTAAATTTGCAATTTCCAAAAAGTTTCTTACAGTCAGTAAAAGTAACTTGAGGCAATTTGTCACGCGCGACGGAATACTGCTACAGAAACTCATCGCCAGTGTAACGAGTGCGGCAACGATCAGCAATGAAAACTTGGCATCGCTCCAAGCAACATTAATACGTTTGGGAATTACCGCGGTAACTTAAACGCCTGGTCAGCGTTAATCGCGTCGACACTGTGAAAGTTGCACTCTGTCTTGCCATGCTTTTCGCAAAAAGCGTTTCGCCGTTTATATTCTGTGTGCATCGTGGATGGACGAAAGGAGTGGAGAAAGATCGTTGAAAAGAAAGAAACAATGAAAAGTTCGATACAAATATCACCTCAACGTATGTTTAACACTTTTTTTCCCTCCGTGTACCTTATATACAATGCAGATTTTCTCGCGCCGGATGTAAAACCGTTGGCTCCTCGCGTCCGTTGGAGCCGGAAAAATCGTATCCGCCGCGTTCGCGTCGCGGCGCGAAGGAAGGAAGGGTTGCGTTTTGGAAAAAGCGCGCCTTTCCCCTACCACCCGCCGCGCAGAAGATACCCGCGAGAGAAGACGCCGTCTCCCTCTTCGCGGTTATCTCTCGCGCGACAAGGACGGCCGACGTCGACGCCAATGTCGGTGAAGCGAGAGGAGGCGGGAGAGAGAGGAGCGGATCTGGAAGGCCGACGATGGACGAGGAGAGACGAGCGTGCGGGCGTGTATGCGCGGCTCTGTACGTGCACGCGGCCACAGCGAGCTGCGCGAGTAGGAGGGAGAGAGAGCGAGCGCGAAGGGGGGAAAGCGAGAGGGGGGGGCGGGCGTAGAAAGGGAGCGCGACGAAGGGAAGGAGAGCGGGCGACAGAGGGAGGGAGAGAGAGAGAGAGAAAGGAGAGGGGAAGCGTATGTACCCCCACCACGGGGGGTGAAAACTACCCCGAGAACGCGTGGGGTGTCCGGCCTCGACGCCGAGGCGAACCGAGCGCGTCCGAAGTGAGCGCAGTGCCCGACACACACCAGGTCCCGCACGGCACGACTAGAGGCGCGCACAGTCCGGCACAGTCCACTCGGCGATACGACCCATGCTGGACCGTCGTCGCTCTGGTCCACGCCGGCATCAGGCATCCAGCACCCGCGCCGTCAGCAGGCCGCACCAGACAACAACATCACTCCGCCGAGGCCGCACGTCGACGAGGACGTGTTGTTGTCGCACATCGACGTCGCGTCACCGTGATCGCGCGTGGTCCAGAGACCGCGGGTGCACCACGCCGACTGCCGGCAATTAAAAATATAAAAACACAAAACGAAGAGGAAGAGAGAGAGAGAGAAGGAAAAGAGAGGGAGAGAGAGCGAGAGAGAGAGAGAGGAAGAAAGACGTCGAAGGATCCGAGGATATACCGCCGGACGACGACCGTCTGGGAGTTTCGGTTCATCGAACTCGCGTGAAACATCGCGCCGCGGACTTTGCGGGACACTCGCGGCGCGACGCTTTTGGACACTTGTTTATATTTTTCTTTTTTTTTTGTCCCCCCTCCCCCCCCCTCCTCCCCCTGTCTTCGGCGAGAAAAACAAAGTGACAGTAGTGAGCGAGCGATCAACGTAGAAGTAATAATTCGACAGCGCGAAGTACCGTGAATTCCCGTGTCGGAAGAAGCAAGTGAGAACTCTGTGTGAACTCTGTTGACCGCGGCGAGAGAGACACGCTTATGCCGCCGAACGTCAGTTTCGGCGATTGCCGCAGGTAGATCTCGGCCGGCGGCGAGTCGACACGGCGCACACAACACACGGCGACTGCTGTCAATCGCGAAGGTGCCGCCGTTCCCGCCAGACGAGCACGTCGTCCCCGGCACCTGTGCGCGCGGACGTACCCGCTGTTCCGGTCGGACGATCGGCTCTCGTTATCAATCGGGCACTTGTAATCGGCGCGCTTGTCGTTCGCAGGGTCGCCGGTGGTCATATGTCGCGCGTATTCCTCGCGGTGGTGAGCGCGGCGCGGCCGCGGAGAGACGCGGCTGACGAATAACATGAGGACCGACACTAGTTGATACCGGAAGAAGTGTCGAGATCGCGGTGTCCAGGTGCGCGAGACGTATTAACGCGGCCAAGGGAAGAGCGCGCGGAGTCGCGGTAGGAAGGGACAGGACACGGCGTGTCCTTGGAAGAGGAAAGGAGGTGAGAACAGTGCCTCGGTACCCCGAGAAATCGGATGAACTCTCTCGCGGAGGGCGAGAACGCGCGGCGGAGGTGAGAGGGAGGAGGGCGGAAGCGTGACGACGGCCGAGATCGGGTCCTTTGTCCTGTTGTTCTGCCACCGACGTGCGCTCGTCGCTTCCTCCTTCCTCATCTCGTCCCCGCGAGTGTGATCCAGGAGTCCGAAGAGAACAACGATCGGCCCTCGATCGCGGCAGCAACGATCAAGAGACGAGCGCCCTTTTCCGTCCTGGACGTCCGGAGCTGAGGTTCGTTCTTCGAGAAACAGTGTTACGTGACGAGAGTCAAAGATCGCGAACGCCACCATGAGGATCAAAATGCCCGCGGTCAGGATCGCGCAAGGTGAGTGACGATACAGGACAAAAAAAAAGAAAAAAACTACATTCTTACGACTCGTATCGCTCTCGCCCGTCGGCCGACACGAGTTTGACCATTCCTGATGTTTACATTCCTACTCCGATATCATTTTTTGACGACAACGTCGAGAGATAACGTTTCACGCGTTAGAAATCATCGGTCACTTCGCGAATGAATTCTATCACTCTGAATTTAATTGATCGATGCGTAATATGCTCGTGCGCGCATTGCGACGGACGGTGTAAAAGCCGAAGGCACGCTTTGCGATTAGGCACACGCCGAATGCGTGATATTTGTCACACGTCACGAAGGCGATGCGCTCGAAAGTATGGAACGGCAATTTCCTGTGTTTGTAAACGCGTTCATTATATCACGCGAATAAAGCAATGCGCGAAATATTTATTAAAATCATAAAATCTTGTGATAATGTTTCTTACCTTATAATATTAATCGCCCTTTATCGTAAACGTCAAGTGACTTAATCTAATCACTTTGATATTTTTTCTTTCCCTTTAGATCTGGTTCTTTTATATGTCAGTTTCTTTAATATTGAAACAAGATATCTTGCAAATATTACATAATTAAATGATTAGAATTTAATGGTATTATGAAATATTTCTAAAATAATCGAATCATCTAATTATAAACGTCAGTTAACTTTATGTATAATTGTTTGTTTCGATCTAGATCCAAAATTAGCAAGCGACAAAATATCTAAAGAGCTGAAATTGGTGAAATCACCATTGCTATATATATCGGAAAGCAATGTTCCAATGAACAACAAGATATTTTATTTTCGAATTCCATCTAATCGACTATTCAAAACATAAACATTCACATTCGCCTTCTTTTCGGCAAAAAAATCATATATATTTCTTATGCTATTTTAGAATATTTTTATATTTACTGAGCGTATATCATTAAATTTTTTTATATCTATTTTATAAGGAAGGAAATAATTAAAATACTTTCGATCGAAATTTCATATTGTACAACTGATACGTTTCCCAATACATTTTTAGTATTTAATCTTTCTATCGATAAATTTTCTAATCAGAAATATAAATATTTGTGGATTTACTCTACCCATCATCATAACTGTGAAACTTTCCGTGGGAGATCAAAATCTCTCTCCCTCGATTGTTAACTGCCTTCGACAAATCCTTCCCATTTGTAACGAGAAACTCTCGGCGCTCATCGGCGGCCCGCAAATCCTTCCACGACGATCCGTGATCGGATCATCGTAAATCGTTTTCAATCGAGTCACGCAAGTCCGGCGCGTTCCACTTCGATCCTAATCATTTTATATCCGTCCCAATTCTATTGGCACGGTGCGTCATCAGTGCGCTTCACGTCATATAAAAAAATAACGAGATAAGAAACGGCAAACTTCGAAATCAATTCCTTTTGCAATTAATATCCTGGCGGGCGATGCTTTCTGGTAAGGAAAAAAAAAAAAAAATACGACTGCAGCACTCGTAATACGAGTTTTCCGCATCGAGTCGGTTGCGATCCGGTAATTAACTCCGTTTCCTCGGCAAACTTGCGCCTCGATGAAGAGGGCAACCTGTCGATGAGGTAAGCGCGCGGCCGCGCCTCGTGGCGCGGCGCTACGAAAAAAGGAGCGAAAAGGATCGGCGGTCGCGTGGCCGACGACGGAGGGAAGGTAAAAAAGCTACGAACGGCGCGAAGAAAGTTAAGTGCGAGAGAGAAAGAGAGAGAGAGAAAAAGAAAGAGGGATAGGATGAACGGGAGTACACGGAGAGAAAGAGAAAGTGTGTGTGTGAGTGAATGAACCAGGGAGAGAAGGAGAGAGGTCGAAACGAGAGCGAAAGAGGGAAAAGAGGGATGGAAGGCCAACGTCTTCGGGTAACTCGTCGTCGGCTGAATTTTTAATTAGTCCGCGACAGCCCCCACCAGGGCGAAAAGAGTGGAGGCGGCGAAGGTGGTGGAGAAGAAGGCAGAGAGAGAAGGAGGAGGCGGAGGTGGAAGAGGAGGCGAAGGTGGCGGGCGCGGCGGAAGGCGCGGGGTGGGCTAGGAAGGGCGGCATTGTCATGCGCGCGTTTTTCAGAGACTTTTCCACCCCCGCGACTGCTACCCCCCCGTCGGCAACACCCGCCCCCGCGACGCCCGCGAGGCACCCCCTCGCCCCCACGGAGCGACGGCGACGCCGGCGACGGCGGCGGCGGCGGCGGCGGCTCCGTTTTCTTAATTACAACTGCGATATTCTTTAGTTCGCGCGATGACGCCGCCGCGAAAAGATACCGGAATATTCCACGGCGCCGATTATCCCCTCGCAACCCCGGATTATTTCCGCCGATCAATTTTCGGGCAACGCCGGCGATCGATAGATCGATGGACTATGTCGATACGCGAGTGACGACGTGCGCCGGCCGTGGCTTCTAAGACGAAGAGCAGCCGCAGCGTCTGACGATCTATCCCTGTGATTAGCAGAGAGAGAGAAAGAGAGAGAGAGAGAGAGAGAGAGATGACAATGTGGGCGAAGTGGCGAATTCGCGGATTCGCCTATCTGCCACCCTGAGGCGGAATCGACGAGTGTCAGTGTCGAGAGACTCACTTGAAATCAATCGAAGGTCGCACTTTCGGCGACGCACGTCAATCGAAATTCCGAGATCAATTTCTAGCTCGTGCAATCAATAGGAGATAATCTCCGGCGAGGACCGCTGTTTCGTAACCAAGAAAATCCGCCGTTTACCTTTCGACCAACTGACTGACAGCTGACAACTAACTGAGAGGTAACGTCCGTCATGAACATGGACGCGGCGATGATGACGGATGCGCCTTCGTTTCACCGAATGACACCTCATCGCAACGCTTTTTATCGCAGCTTGCTTGATACCGATACCAATCAAGGACGGCGCGAATGGCATCGTCCATCGTTCGCGTCGAAGGTGAGTTTTCGCTGGCGTCGAGTGAAAGCCTGCTTTTTCGAAACGATAGTCACGCGTGGAAGAAACGTATCGATCAATTGACAATAAAAATATCTTTACAGGAGGGCTAAAGTTTTTTTTTTTCCGTGGAAATTTTATCGCAATAATTAAAGGAGACGCGGCAGATCTTGCGAATGTTGTTTGAGCGAGCCGTCGCATTCGCATCACACGCTTTCGAGGCTTTAAATTTGTGTTTGCAAACGCGAGATTACCCTCTTGCTCGAAGCGATGTGTACATCGCCTGCTTACACCTCGATTACCTGCCTGCCCGCCCGCTATCCTGTGACCCCTCCTACGTGCATACATAGACAGGCGGCCGTAAATAGATCGTGCATTTACTTGCGCACGTCGAACGGCAAATACATCCTATCATGCGATCATTTTCCCATCTATAACTACATGCTATGCGAAAGCGACAAGTGTTTATTACGAGTTATCTGGTCATTCGACATTCGTGAGTGCGTTCTCGCGGAATCGCAACGTCGGCCGTCGGAGATTGTTTTCGAGTAAAAGTATTGCGAAAATTACCGAAAAAGCACACTTGTATGAAAACCAATAAGGATATTTGAATAAATTATCAATATACAGTTATAATAAAATTATACATTTTAGCTTGCTATAAATGTGTATTTGGAATTATTAATGTGCAAACTCTCGATATATTAAATTTTCCAATTTATTAGATTTTAATGTGATTTTATTTCAAACATAGAATAATATAAAAACATAGAACATAAAGAATTGCTCATTTTCGCATTGATATTACAAATTTCATTAATATTTTGAATGTTACGTGCTTTACCTTGCTTCGCAATGCGAGGTTTTATATTTTTGCATTCTTGACATTTTTTACATCAGCAATGTCAAATTCGCGTAATTTTTAATACAAAATTATATATGACTGCCGTAAAAGAAAATATTAAAGCTATCTTTTACATTTATTGCATATCGTTTGCAAGTTCAGAGTTACAAGATATCGCTGTAATCTAATGTTGTAAATCACACGCCGTTTGCGTTTTGCCTTTATCCATATGCGATAACCACACAATGTCCTAGTCAATAGAATCGCTGCAGATATTCCACATAATCCGTTCTCAATAACGCAATAAGCTTTCAAATGTTAATCTTTAAAGGCCGAATGGTCAATTAACTGACCAGCCCGCATAGTCACTCATCGTCGAAAGATTACACTGCCCACGTACTTGTCCATCCGCGGTTGCGGTTTGCGACGTCGCGTGAAATAGCAATTATAGCACAATATTCAGACGATAAGTGCACGTTTGTTTTCCACTTTAACGCAATACGAATTCCAGGAAAGTTATTTTTTGCATACGTTAGTCACTGCTTCTACGTAGCATCGATGTTTTTGGAAGTAATTTTCTCTCGTCGCTCTTAAAATTTTCTAACGTTAAAATTAATTGCAATTAAACGAAGCAATAAAATCATTTTCTGTTCAAACAATTTTAATTGCAGTGAAAATAGTGTTCTTGTAAATAACTTAATTTGTCTTCAAATACACAAATAAGTGTTTGAAAGCAGAGAAATTAATTATATATACTTACGTCAATTTGAAACGACGCTTTTCTTAAACACGATCGCTCAGTTGGACGCCGCGCGGCAAAGGTTAATAAGCGCGCAATTACACCCGCTGACCCGCGAGAAGGGTTTCTTGCGCGCCCCGCATCTAGTCACGAGGTACTCTCGAGGATGTTATTTAGCAAACAGAGCGCTAAAGCTTTGCCTCCCCGCCGGCACGTGCGCGGCATATGCGCCTTTTGCGTACTGTGTACGTGTTGAATATTGTCTTTGATGCGCGGCCCGTCGGAAGCCCTTCCTCGCCTCGCGTCTTCTTTTCGTCCCCGTCACCCTCTCCCATCCTCTCTCCCGGATCCATCCACTCCCTAGTTACTCCTCTAACACGTCTCCGACGATTCCTCAACCAAAAAAACCGCTTTGATTTGATTTTCTAGATTAACCTTTAGGGCGCCGGGCGCGTGGCTCGAACCCTTTCCTCCGTCTCCTCCTCGCGGCCCC